CTAGGAAGAGCTTTTATTTCTGGATTTTCCACATCATCAACAAATATCCCCTCCCCCTCCTCCTCCATCGCCACTAATCTAATCTAATCGCCGCTCTAATACAACAGTCTAGCTACATACATCTGCTCATCATCTGCCTGAAATATTTGCTTGGCAGTTGACATTATATTTCAGCTCAGTTAGTATTGGACCAGCAGCATTTCCAGCCTCTTCTATATATACCTCCTTCAGCTAGCTCTTTCTTACCTGCCTGAATACCTTGCAAAGTGAAAGTGTGCATTGATATCATCGCTGCCATGGGAACCATGACTCTGCCGCCAGGGTTCCGGTTCCACCCGACGGACGACGAGCTGGTGGGCTACTACCTCAAGAGGAAGGTGGACAACCTCAAGATCGAGCTCGAGGTCATCCCCGTCATTGATCTCTACAAATCCGAGCCATGGGAACTACCAGGTGTGTACATATTCATACATACATGCGTGCCAAAAAAAAAAAGGCAAACCCTTTGACTTACCACTAGATGTTTTAGTTGTAGCCTCTTGTCCTATTGTGATATTGACCTCCCAGAAACAAGTGAAAAACAAGAGTAAAATGGCTGAAATTAACACAAAGGAACATGTTCGACGAATATCACCTGGTATTGCTAGAGATCATCAGTAGAATAGAAAGTAGAAAGGCCACCTTTGTCCCGGGCATCTGCCCTTTTTTCTCCCTAGGCCGGTTGCAGCTGATAAGTCCTTGTATAGCCTTTTCAAAAGAAGAAATTAACATGTTGCTCAGAACAGAAAAATAACACTCCTATGTAATGTTCTCATTCTCATCAGAGAACAATTATATATTAGCAGAGATACTAGCACAATTTGATTGATTTACAGAATCAGTTTTTTACTCAAAGTTTGCACAGCAGCAACTGATTCCTGTTCCATGCATGAATTGCTGTGTATCGCAGAGAAGTCTTTCCTGCCGAAACGGGACCTGGAATGGTTCTTCTTCTGCCCCCGGGACCGCAAGTACCCCAACGGTTCCCGCACCAACCGCGCCACGACGACGGGCTACTGGAAGGCCACGGGCAAGGACCGGCGCATCGCCTGCGACGGCGGCGTCTACGGCCTCCGCAAGACGCTCGTCTTCTACCGCGGCCGCGCCCCCGGCGGCGAGCGCACGGACTGGGTCATGCACGAGTACCGCCTCTGCCAGGACATCGCCCACGGCGCATGCAACTTCATCGTACGTCCATCTCTTGTTTTGTTTTGCATCGATGCAGGGCGTGAAAATGCATCGATACGTCAGTGCTCAACTGAATGAAACTAACTGTCGTTTTCTTTTCCCCTGCAGGGTGCTTACGCGCTGTGCCGCGTGATCAAGCGGCACGAGGCCGGGCTGCTGCACGGCGAGCCGGCGGGCAGGGCGAAAGCAGCCGCCAGCAGCGCGAGAGGGCAGATGAGCAAGGTCTCCAGCAGCTCGTCTCTCGTCAGCAGCGAGCAGCTCAGCACGTCGTTCACACCCACCAACTCCAGTCCACCTCCTACTCTGGACGTGGGAATAATGTGCACCTTGGCTGAATCTGGCGACGCTTTCCAGGTACACAAACACAAAGCAGAACCTTATTGCCTCCCTGCCTTCCGTGTCATGTCCCTAGTATTTGCTTTTGTAGTAGTACGTGGGAAACGGTCTGATGAAACGAAATTGATGCACTGATATGATTCTGCAGAGCCCCGTTGGGTACAGCGTGACGGCGACGGCCACCACCGGCACCGGGCTGCCGTCGAGCCCGCTGCCCCCGCCCCTGCTCCTGCCGTCTCCCCACGACACGTTTTTCATCGGCGACGACTTCCCCGCCGCGGCCGCAGACGAATCGCGTTCGCACGCGCACTTGTTCGCCGGCGACATCATGGGGCTGGGGATGGGCAGCGCCTCGGAACACGAGCTGAAATGGGACAGCTTCCCCTGCCCAAACACGTTCTCGAGTGGTAGGTGTACTCCTCCTAATTGCGGCTTGATCGTGACCTCCACCTATGGATGTGAATGACGCCGGCCTGTGTGTGTCTGAACGTCTGCAGGTGCCGACACGTGGAACATGGCGGCGGCGGCGGCGAGCCCGACGATGCTGTGCCGGCAGGCGAGCGACGGCATCGAGGACCTGGCGGCCATCTTCTTCTCGGACGACAACAGGATCGTCTTCTGACGTCAGCGGAGTGCTCTGCACCTGATTTCAATTGCTTGCTCCTCAAGATGCGTGGCATGTGCGACTGTGGGAAATAAGGCTCTCGGTGACCTGCTCCCGAACTGGCGGTATATTTTTCAGCCAACGTACGTGTGTGTATATATATATATATATAAACACACACATTCTGAGTTTTACAAGCTGGTAAGGTTAAGATAAAAAGGATATTGGGAATTACTAGTGTTGGCTACGGAGTGATGGCATCTTATTACAGTCTTCTCTGTAGCACTCGTGCTGTGTACCCGTCACTTTCTAATGCGTGCGTCCTTTCCACCAAGTAGTACTTCTGTGCTTGACCTGTCCTGTGCTGTGTACGACAGAGCTAGTACGACAATGCAATATTGCACTGCTTTGTAGCCTTAATTATTAACCATTCTTAATTCCATGTCATTTCGTACTAAGTACATGTTGTTTGTGCTGCGTTCACAATTGGGATGTATTATGCCTCCAAAAAAAACATGGGATGCGTCACGACTTCATCATCACGAAAAGATTGATCTGGACAACCAACGCGAAATAAGCCGCTAATTGTTACATGAACTGATCTCCCCAGTACGCTGAGAATTGAAAACGACACAGCAAGCTCTGGCTCTGTAAAGTGCTTGGGAAAAGAAGCTACCCCTAGTAAGGTATAGAAAAATAGATGCAGTATAACGTTTGAGGTGGTAGCCAGCTGAAATAGCCTCACGAGCTGGTGAAAAGCAAGGAATGACTTCGCGGCCAAGGAGTCAATGACCAACCAATTACGTGACCTTTCACCTCATGCAAACAAAACAATGGAAACTGAATATTCCAATGAAAATGGACGACGACACGTAATTCAGTAGCAACGATTCCTCCCCAAGCAGTGCGGTGTGCCTCGCCGTCGCCGGCCGGCCAGGAAAGCTCCGAGCTGCTTCTTATAATCGAAATACTAGCGAGGAGAAAAGGAACAAACACAAGACGGGGGCAGAGAAGCACTATTATTCAGTATTCACGACAGAAAGGGGATGGATGGGAGAATCTGAATAAGCAGGGGGGGGGAATAAGGTCACCGTCGTTCCACGAATCTGACGGCGAAAGGAGAGGAGGCCGGCGAGCAGCCCTCGTCAGCAAGTGATTGTCGATCGCTAGTGCGCTCCCTTTTTCAGCCTCCGCACTTGTTGCACTTGCACGCACCAACTTGCGAATGTTTGCGCTGGAGGCTGGAGCAGCGGAGACTGAGAGAAGGGACAAGGAATCCCTGTTTCTGTGCTCTTGTTTTGGCCCCTGCCTCTCTGTGTCTGTATTCTATCGCGTGATGTCCACTTGTCCAGTAATTGGTGAAAACATGGCTGTATGTGGTTTTTTTCCCCAGAAATACTCAGCCACGAGAGTCCGTCCCGTGCGGACGTGGTTCCCGGTCCGCAGCGAACCGGTCTCTAAAAAACACCCCATCGTCATGGCTTGGCTACTCATCTGGCCGCCCCGCCACAGCACTTCCCCAACCCCACCCCAGTCCTCATTCGCGTTGTGCCCTTCCCCCACCAGGCCACATCCCCATCCCCCGCGAGCGGATGGCGCTAGACGATTGTGGCCGAGCGAGCAACGGCGCTGGAGTAGCAGCAACAGGGACGCCGCCCATGGGCAGCGTTGGAGAATCATAGGAGGGCCGCACCGCTGCTGCACTGGCAAGCTCCATGCGCCGGCGTCGAGCTCCGCAACGACGAGCGTCCATTCGTCCAAGCAACAAGGTGATATTGTGCTGAAAGCGGATGTTACGTTGCAAGCGTATGTTTTAAGTGTTTTAGATGTGTCATCTAGATGTTGCAAGTGTTTCATCTGAATGTTAAAAAAGTAGATCGGGATGTTGCATATGTTGCAAGATGTTTCAGAGGTATATTCCAAACGTTTGTTTTCAATGTTTCATAATGTTACATATGCTTCACACATATGTTGCGAGTGTCTTATTTGTATGTTGCATATGTTTTGCAATGGTTTTTAAGTGTTTTCGGTGATTTTTGCAAGTGTTTCAGACGCAAAGTGTTTTATTTATCTTCTTTTGTATGTTGCAAAATGTTGCATCTGAATGTTTTCAAAAATAGATCAGAATGTTGCATATGTGTGCACGACATTAGGGACATGTCAGGGATGGAACGCAGCAGAGACGGGCACGGAGGTGAACTGGGCGCGGCGAGAGATGGAGCGCGGTGGGGGATGGCGGCGCGGCGGGGACGAGCCGCCATGAGTGATGCGCATGCTCCGTTTCATTACGCGGAGACTGACTCGAATCGGTGTTATGTTGCGGGGCAGTTTTATCGGATGGGTGGAATCACAGGCTGGGAGCTGCGTCCGGACGCCCCTCGCTAGCTGTTCTTTTTTTAAAAAAAATTGGCTCTATGTGTTGCATAAATTATATATTTTTGTTTGAGGGAAAAGGAAATAATAGTATTTTTAAATTTATAAGCCGTATTTTTTCAGCGCTAGCTGTATGGGTTGCATAAATAATAGTATTTTAAACTTATAAGCCATACTTTTTTAGTCAATGAATAGTATTTTTTTGTCATAATAAATTAGCTAATAATACTTTTAGTCATGACTTATGAGCAAGCGAACATGGCACTAAACCGAAACTCCATGGGCCGGCAGCCTGCCTGTTAGTCCTAGCCCAAGTTACGTGCTGCATCCTGGGCTCCTGGCCCATCATCACCCTCAGTCGATGCCGGCAGGCAGGCGACAGCACCGGCCGGGCGGCCCCTGCCAACACCTGCCTTCACTCATCCCGCGGTCCCGCCCGCCTCCATCGTCGCCGTCTCCAATGACGGCAGCGGCGGCGGAGGCCGTGCCGCGCCGCCTGGGCGCGGCTGTGCGTGACCTCTCGGGTTCGTGGTACGGGCGCCACATGGCCGCAGCCGAGCGCGCCATCCGCGCGCGCCTGCCCCTCGTCGACCTCGTCCTCAGAGGTCCGCGACGCACGCGTGCCCGACTCCTCGTCGTTCGAGCCTCTCCGCCGCCGCGGGCCTCTGGAGCCAGACCGTCGCCGGGTCGTCCTTCTTAACAAGGCGGACCTGGCAGACCCGTCCGAGACCGAGGTAATCAGGCCCCCTAACCCTGCGTTGCGCTGCATATTGGGGAGAGTTGACGGCTGCTTCTGAATTCCGATGCCCGAGGTTGCTCGTGGTGGTGCAGGAGTGGGTGGCGTACATCAAGAAGCAGAGGAGTTGTCCTTGCATTGCGGTAAATTCACACAGCAGTGAAAGCATCAAAGAGGTAGGCCACGGCCAGCAGTGCTGTTTGTAGTGGAGGGAGAAGTACATGGGTTTAGCAATTGGGTAGGTGATTCTGGGATTTCCTACATGGAGATGCATGTCTAACATGGGCGTTCTTTTCAAATCTATCATGTAGCTATTGAATGCTGTGCAAACAAGAATCAGGGAGATCAAACATGGTGAGAACAATTGCACGGGAACTGCCCTCCTGGTCGGGATCCCAAACGTTGGGAAATCGGCCATCGTTAATGCGATGCATCAAATTGGGAGGATTGCTGCAACAGGTGATATATACAGGTCATTTGTTGCTGCTCAGTTATTTGTGGTTGCGTTTGTTTTGGTTGGCCTCTTATTGTTAAATCCCAATGATTGTTGTCTGTCCAGAGAAGGGAAAGCTCAAGCATGCGATTGTGAGCACCATCCTGGAGAAACTAGAGACATAAGTGGGTACAAGGTAAGCTCGTTTGTTCTAGGATGCATGAAATGAAAGTGCTGCTTTTCCAGATCACCTTACAAGTTGGTATTTATGCTGCAGTGCTGTCTGCATCAACCAAGAGTTCAATTTATTATTTAAAGGACAACAAAACTGAAGAGTGGGTGCCAACCTGCCATGGTACTCTGCTCGCGTCGACCCTACGTCCTCCTAGCACGCGCCGCGCGGCAGTGCGAAGGGTGCCGCACCGGGGGCCGTGGGGGGGCGCCGGTGGGAGACGACGACAACATCGGCGACGCAAGACTAAGCCGAAGGAGATCGGCACGGGTGCGCCTGCCGACCACGCTGACAGGGCACCTACTTCTACTGCTGCACTAAGCTTCCCCGAGCCAGATCCGGTGGCGCTGGCGCTGTGCGTGAGTGCGGGGCCCCCCGCATTGGTCATCTATTTCGACCCGATCTTTGGAGGAGCTCGCCGCGCCTCGCTTCGTCGTGTGAGCCGCCAATGAGAGCAACAACACGAGTGTTCGCACGCTACGGCAGCCCCTCGGGGAGGTTGAGACACCGATGGCGGACACTGTTCCCCGGCGACGGTTGCTCGATGGATGAGCAGACTTGTCTCGATGTCGCCCGATGATGTCGCCGGTCGCGGGCCGCCACAACTCACGCCACCACGAGCCGGAGCACCCGGCGTCGCAGAGGGTTGCACCACCCCCAGCGACGTGACGCCCACACCACGCGAAGCTGCCCGACGTCTCGCACCGTTCACTGAGGAGGTGCAGCTCGAGCGAATGCCGCCTCTAATCGCCAACCCACCCAGGCAGAAGGTGGCAACCATAGGGCAACCCATGCCAAAGTGGAGCAGACGGATTGCCGCTCAGCCGCTGGCGCATATTCCGACCTCCAAGCGGGGCGAGGTGCTCCTCATGCGGAGGATGGGCTTTGCACCGCCGGCAGCTCCAATCTCATCCGCGTCCAAGAGAACTTACGACGACTTTTTCGCAATGACCTTGACGTCGAGCGAAGTGGAAGCATTGGACGTGCTATTCCCGGCGACCAATGCTACGACTGGTAGAAGACTCTTCTCGGATGACGGAGCAGAGTCGCGCGGCCAATAGCGGAGACACCCAGCTCCGTAGGTTGCTGCGCTGCCCTTAGTTCGGTTGTTTACCTTTATGTAATATCGAAGTTTGAAACAGTCTGCTAGGAAAGTCCAGTCACAACTGTAAGACCACCTAGGGCGCTCATTAGAAGCGTGTCGTGTGTATGCTTAAACTTTTCTTCTTCTTAATTACAATGATACGCAAATCTTTTACGTATTCGAGAAAAAACAAAACCGAAGAGTGATTCTTATAGAAATGGCAGTAGTGCATGCGTTTTTTCATTTTCTAGTGTGTGCTCCTGGGAGCTAGTTCAACATGTTTTGGCTCAGCAATTGTCTTCTGATTCTCAAATGTCATGTACATATTATCAAGACTTATTGATCTAAAGGTTGCTAGCCATCCAAATATATATGTGTTGGACACTCCTGGTGTGCTCTCACCAAGATTTGCAAATGATGGTTCTGGCCCCAGACTAGCCTTGACAGGTACCAGTCACTTCAAAGTTTATGGCTTCACTTTAACTACATATTATTATCTGATGCATGCACATGCTTTTGCAGGAGCTATCAAGGACCCCTTGTTAGAGGAGTATGATATCGTAGAGTTTCTTCTTGCAATTGTGAACTCAGGGAAGGAATATAGGAAGTGGGAGTAGTTGAATAAAGCAGGAGATACCTTTTCTTGTGGCAACACAATTACGTCCAGGGGCCACAACAATGAAGGGCAATATGCTTCAGATCACACTCAGGTAAATGCAGTAAAGAGTTTAGAGCTCAGTCCCTAGTACTTGCAGCCTAGTTTCACTTTCATGCAATTTCTCACTGCTGATACAAGAAAATTTATGTTTATTTATCTAGTTTTTTCTGAGAAAGATTTACGGTTTTATCAGGAGTTTGCATTTTTCTTTTAAAATAAAAAATCAAATGTATGCAGTGCTAGCTGCTCTGTTGCCTTTGTGCAGAATTTCGTCATGAAAGCAGTCCGCCAAGTGCTTTTTGGGACTGTATCTTGTTTTAATGGTGATCTAGGACAGGTGGATGAGTTAAGAAGATTGATAGGCCACCAACTTGTAAACTTGCAGGAGGTTTTCAAGGTCTCCACTGAATCAAGTGAGGATATGTGTAACCTATTGCTATGAAACTACTCAATCTGTATCGGACAGGAAGGCTTGGCCATTATACCTTAGAACATGTCCCAGATGTTAGGCAGGAAGTTGTTGCATAATTATGTACGTACTGCCTAAAGCATGTCCTTTTTCTACCTTAAAAGAAGGATTATGCATGATTTGGCCAGGAATGCAACCCCTCCTAGCTCTAGGTTGCCCAGGGAGGATGAGGTGCCGGGAGTGTTCCAGTAAAGGCTAAAAAATGAATCAACTGTCTACTCGTCTGCATTAGTTTGATTGAGGAAAGGCCATCATCTGGGTGCAAGAAACGTTCACATACATCAATGGTGGATTACCGATGGGTTCAGGACTCCAGGGAAGAATGATGCTTCACTGCTTCAGGCAAATATCCAGCAAACTCTACTTACGATTTCACTACTTATGAGGCTTTCTTCTATAGGGCAGTTCTTTGCAATCTACTTCGGAGGCTTTCTTCTATATGGCAATTCTTTGCGAGGCACGGGAGCGCATGAGACAATCTTGGATTCTTGAGAACCAACGAACTGCCAACTTTTTATTTGGCACGCTCGCAGTCAGCACTCAGCAGTGCACGATCGCTGCTGGACCTCAGATCGACTAACACGATGAGGACAGCCACACCCGGAGCACTGCTGACTGCGACACAGTCTGTGATTACGGTGATGGTGATGAGAACAGGTAGCGTTGCAAAGTGTATACTAACGTTTTGCGTCTTCTCGTCGAAACAAGGCTTCGCGTGTCATTCCGGAGCATGTTATGTTATGGATTAAACTTTTAACCTCCCACTGCGGTTATGCACAACATTGTATTTGCCGCTGACACAAGTGGGCCTTGAGACATCAATGGCAAAAAATGGTCTGCAAAATTTTACAGCACGAAATAATGAGCTGCCATTATTGTTATCGCTCCTGCGCACTCTTTATATATACCGGCACTGTCCATTCACCTCACCTGTATCGACTGTCTTTCCTTACAATATCCACACAAACAAAGGATGATAAGATGCAAAAAGAAAAAGACCTGTAGTTTGTGAGTGGTGACCAGAGGTGCCACAACACAATTATCACGTCCGACGACGGGCAAATTGAACTTAGCTACTTAGGCATGATTGGGGATGAGAGGTGTCAGGAAGGCTGCTATTGTATCAAAAAGACCACGGCAAAGCACTTCCCTTGACCTAGCAATGCCTCAAACCCTCGTGATCTGTCCCCACGCGGGTGACGGGCTTCATTTGGGGAAGCTGCTGCTCACCGGTTCATGTATAGGTGGCAGAACCAAGTGCAGAAGTTCTCAAACAATGTGTATCTTGCTTGCAAGTTTCTTCTCTGACTTCAAAGCCCAATCTCTGAAGGAATCACTCGAGAAATCAAAGGGGCAGAGTTATGGAGCCTTCATTGCAAGGGAGAGAGCTTGTCTCGAGTTTGGTCTCAAGGTTTGCTGTACGAACCATTGGAAGTGCGGAACTCTAAAAACTCTACCGAACGACCGCAACTAACAAAGTCAATCAGGCAATCTAACCCGAGAGAAGTGTGTTAGTGTTTCATCAAAAAAAAAAAATTGTGTCCCTTAGTGTCTCAACGTTTGCTGTATCAATTGAGCAGTTGTCCAAAGCAAACACTTCAAATTTGTATTCCTATTTAGTATAGTATACAATAAACTCAATTCAAATAGAAAACACGATGTCTAATTGCACTTTGAAAACTTTGATAAATCGACTTCGCTTCTCTCTTCATCTGCCTGGGTTAACGACGGTGCTCTCCACAGAGCAGTAACCAGAGAGTACATACTTTCCCCTGCTTACTCTGCTGGTCTAGGGCTACCATGGGAGAAGGCAAAATTCACGATTGATGAATCGATCAAGTAAAGGACATTGCATGGATGGTGGATGCTAATCCGGTGTGGAGATCCAGTTGCTAGGGGCCTCTCCGCTTGCCTAAATGTCACTGCTGCTGTTATCCTTGCTTGGATCCTGCTCAATTTAGGTTGGCAGAGTGCATTCTTGTTATCCCCATTAGTAATCCAGGAGTTCAACGTTAGGGCCTACAGAAGTTGCTTGGATCCTGCTCAATTTGAGTTGGCGAAAATTTTGTTTATTTTTTTTATTTTGAGTTTATCCAAACATGGCCGGCATGGTTGATCTACTAGTAATTCGCCATTCATGCACCTAGCCCCAACTATGCGCGACACGTTCTTGGGTTGGATGGCCGGGTGGGCGCGGTCACCACGTCCCAGCAGCGCGATGTCGCCTCACTGGCTCGCCCCACGCGCGCAGGCGCGCTGCCGCGCGAGCTTGCTATCATTGTGGCACCGTGCTGCGCTGCTGCTGCTCGCACGGCCGAGCGGCGCTGCCGTCTGCCCGCCGTGCTGCCGACCCACCTCGTGCCGTGACGCAGCCGCTGCCGCTGCCGTCGCGTCCGCGCCTGTCCGCTATACCCTTACCCCGCCGCTGGCCCGGTTAGATGCCGCGCGCACGTGGTCGAGCTCGCCGTCGCCATGTCATTTATGGCACTGCGGCCGCACGGGCCATGCCGGTCGTGGACGCGCGCGCTTGTCCGTAGCGTCTGCGCGCGTGTCTCCCCGATCACGCCGCCACGTCCCGCTATGGCGAGCCCGAGTTGAGCTCACCTATCGCACCCCGTCTCTCATTCTCTGCTGCCGCCGTCAGAGCCGCGCCAGCACGTTAGACATCGAGTGATCATCTCCATTCAATTCAGCACATCTGCGGCTTCACCATCAAGTTCTTCAACTGCCCAACCCCACCCAGCCATGAAGCACGCACTGCCATGCTCCAATTTGGCGCTTTTCCCGCCGCCGTGCCGATAAGGCCGCATCCTGTCGCGGACGAGGGCAGCCCCCTACCGTCCGCCCCAATCCAATTCACCTGCACCACTAGCTTTGCCTCGCCTCCCTCTTCACCTTGCGCACGTCAGCGGAACCGCTACCGCCTCCCCATCGCCGCTGACGCGACCGTACCATCGCGGTGCGCCGCCGCATGACTCGGCCGCACGTGGCCACCCCTCCTCCGTTATCCTCCACCCCAACCGTCACTTCGGCCTGGTCCATGGTAGCCTCCTGATGCTCATGCATGAGTCAGTTAGGTCCGAAGCAGCCCTAGCTCACCGGAGTGGGTGCGCCGCCGCCACGGATGGCCGCGCGTCGCTGCAGCTCGCTCCAGCGCGTTCCGTCGCCCCGCGTTACTGCTTGGTGTAGGCGGTTGGACCGTAGTTGAAGGTCGGCCCGACTGATGGCCGGCGCGAGCCCCAAGTGGCTAGCGCAGCCGCGCTATGCCACCGCCGCCGCATCGTCGTGCGCTGAGTCGGCTGGGGTGCGTCGCGGGTGAATTAGGGAAAGGAATGAGGGTTAAGTGATAAGTCTCGTGAGAAGGGGAAATAATGTTAGGACTTAGTAGTAATTCAGAAGAAGTGCAAGGTCTATTTTACAAAAGCGCCAAGCACGCGCGGGATTCTCCAGTCACGGGTCATCTCGCGCACGGGCCGGCGTCGCGCGGGGCAGCGTGTGGGCCGCGCGGGAGATTCACTTTTTATTTTCCTAAGGAATTAGAGATAGTTTTCTAATTTAATTTCTGAGCTGATCTTTGGTAATTAATATAAAATCATGTAGGTGTCCAAAAGTTATGAAATAAATTTTGTTAGATTTCTAAAATTATGATCTATGTGTTGGTATATTTAGTTCATGTTTATAGGAGCTATTAAATAGTATGAGAATACTTAATATTATTAAGTTAATTATTGTAGGAATTTTTGTGGTGAATTGGTGATAATTTTGATCCTGAAATTTTTATAGTAGTTTCATTGTATTATTATGTGTTCACTGTAATTTTTGTAGCTTTAAAATAGACTAAACATTAGAGTAGTTAAATGCTCTTTGTTTCAATATACATTAAATCACTAGTAGAAATAAAGATATATCCTTAAATGCTCTTCATTCTGGCTTTTTCGGACTGATTGATTGGAGACAGGGAAAGGTGGAGGTCTAAACACTATACTGAGACCGGGTCTCAAGTGTGGGGGATTGGAGTCCAAGTTTGGATGGGGACCTGGACCCCGTGACAGGAGTGGAATGGGTTGGTTTTGTTTGTGCCTGGGGTACAAACGAGATGTGTGTTTCAGGGTACCCAGCTGTGATACATTGGTTCGCGAATCGTCGTTTCCATGAGACAGTACGACTTGGCTATGGTCTAACACCATAGTAAAAACTGGAAGATGAAAGATGATGAAATGATTCTGATTGCTCAACCCTTGCTTGAAAGTAGAACAAGTGCTTGCCTAGAATGGTTAGATACTGAAGTAATCATGACTGCTAATTAAACTTGATCTTAAGGACGTACTTCTAGTAATGCTTTTCGTAAACAAAAAGAAAACAACAAACACATATTGCCTATATTACCCCTTAGAGTCGGAAAACTATTTCCACTAGTCGGGTAAGTCTTGCGAGTACATTGTGTACTTAGGGTTTATTTTACCCTGTTGCAGGTGCAGCTTGAGGAGTAG